AAAGGAGGATGGATATGTCGTACCACCGCTTCTCCCTTCCGAAATCCGACATGCTATTTCGTCGGTGAAAAATTGAACAGCACCAAGATAACAAGGCTCATTGAAGCATCGCGAGAGTGTAAAAGACCGCTCTGTCTCACTTTCATCGATTTACAGAAGTCCTTTGATTTAGTTGAGATAGAAGCAGTCTTGGAAGCCCTTGGTAGTCAATGAGTCCCTGCTCAGTACATAAAAATTCTTCGTGAGCTGTACAAAAATTTCGCAACAAAGGTATCACCATTCTACAACGATGTTAACATTGACGCCAAAAAAGGAGATATGCAAGGCGATACCATTTCGCCAAAATTATTTACCGCCACCCTCCAGAACGTCATGTGAACATTGGAATGTGATAATATGGGAGTGAAAATCGATGGTCGGCAGTTATACCGTCTTCGTTTTGCTGATGACATCGTCCTTATAAAGGCAAACATTAGCCAAGCAGAACGTATGCTTTCCAACTTTGATAAAGTCTGTGGAAAGATTGGTCTTCGACTAAATATCACAAAAACAATGTTTATGAGAAGCGGATTGGTTTCGTATGCCCCATTCACGCTCAAAGGAAAGAGTATCTCCGAATGCTCCAGTTATTTCTATCTAGGTCGGGAAATCAATATGGTGAACGACTTAGCTCCAGAGCTGAGCAGAAGGAAAGGAGCGGCTTGGAGAGCCTTCTAGACCATCGAGGATGTAGTGAAGAGAACAAAGAACACCGGACTCCATGCCCACTTTTTCGACTCAAAGGTACTTCCTGCCCTAACGTATGCGTCAGAAACCTGGTCGCTGCGTAAGCAGGATGAAAGATCACTCAGCGTTATCGAACGCGCAGTCGAAAGGACGATGCTAGGAGTATCCCGTTTCCCACAAGTAAGTGATGGGATCCGAAACTCCCACCTGCGTCGACGATCGAAAATCAAAAATGCCGTTCTGTACGCCAAACAGTCGGAGATAATGTGGGCCGAAAACGCAATGAGTATGAATGACAACCGATGGACAAGAGCCGTTAGTGTCTGGATTCCTCGGGATGTGGAACGTACTGCAGGNCACATTTTCGACTCAACGGTACTTCTTGCCCTAACCTATGCGTCAAAAACCTGGTCGCTGCGTAAGCAGGATGAAAGATCACTCAGCGTTATCGAACGCGCAGTCGAAAGGACGATGCTAGGAGTATCCCGTTTCACACAAGGTAATGATGGGATCCGAATCTCCGACCTGCGTCAACGATCAAAAATCAAAGATGCCATTCTGCGCACCAAGCAGTCGAAGATAAGGTGGACCGGACACGTAGTGCGTATGAATGACAACCGATAGACAAAGCCATTAGTGACTGGATTCCTCGGGATGTCAAACGTACTGCAGGAAAACCACCGACCCGATGGTCAGAAGTGTTCACGTAGAGCCTAGAAGAAAGATATAATGCTCGATGGACCTAGAGCGAGCAGAACCCACTGGGCTACTTTTGCACGCGACAGGGAAAAATGGATAATTTACTGGCGCCCGCTCAAATCACTCGACAATCAACGGGATTACAGGTGTTATAGGTGATGCATCCAAGTATTCAAGTATGAACTGATCTTGTTGAGCTGATGCGAGGTTGGTATAAGCCGTCGTTGCTGTTGTTGTCGTTGTTGGTCGATGGTTGACGTTTCGGCGATTTCGCTTTCCTTAGAGCCGTCCTGTTACAAGCGAGACTCTGTCCGTCTGCGAGTGAAGTGTTTTCAACTGATGTACAACTGGTTACCACCTGGTAAACCCATCAGCGTGTTCGCAATCCATGTCGATCAAACACAGAGAGAGAACCCGTGTGCGAGCTACACGAGCTACCACTGCCGAAGGTCATGCTTCTCCAATAGAGCAGGTTTCTATCCTTCTACTAGGTCAGATTTATCGAATAGAGCATGTTTGCTATAATTTTGCTGTTGATCTAAAAATAACGAGGCTCTCTGCACCTTACTGAGACCTGTTTAGCTGTTATTTTCAGACTGACTAGGTTTACAGTGCTGCATTTAACTACAGAAAAGCGCTCGACGACACGGATGCCTTGGTCAAGGAAATTTTTGCGCAGCGTTGCGAAGAACTTCAGGTCTAGTTTTTCATTGCTGGGCTGTCGAGACCATGGCTTCCTCAGAAATTCTGCTTATTATTTCTCTGTAGTCTTCCTTCTAGATTTTTTTTGTTGTTCGCTTTTTTGTTAGTATATTTTTTGATTTTGCACTAATTTTTAAGGATTTCCAATTTTAACAGCATTCATCACTTCTATGCCGTTTTAAGCTTTTTTCAAAAGCTTACAAATTCGTCTATACATCGTTTCTAATGTTTCGAGAGCTTGTTATGTCATACATTCATAGACACAACGCACAACATTTACTAATTTCAGCTCATGTGTCAGTAGAGCAATGACCATTTCCAAATTTAAACTAAAATATCTTAATGTTAACTTTTTTATTTATTGCCTGCTACAGTTTTTCACGGCAGGATATAATGTGTGATACAACCGTAATGGTGCTGAGATATTTGCAAAGCTCCGGATCACAAGTGTCTGCGATGGGAATCAAACGCTCTGTTACCCTTTCCGGGAGCTAAAGTGTGGGGTGGTCACCGCGTTCACCACCACATCATGCGGCTCCTTCATTTCGCATGTCTCTCAGCTGGTCTTCTACATACCAGTACCTTCAGCATTATCTTAGTTCATGGCAGTCTATATCTGTTATTTAAAAGCCAAAGGGAACTACGAATGCTTGCCAGCCAAGTTCGTGTCTTGTTCTGCTGGGATGAAATCTCCGTTCTCTGGAGCTCACAAGGCCTGAACTTCCGTTTTCCTTCTTTGAGGATACTTCTTTTCGATCACGAAAGCGGTTGAGCCAGCAGGACTTGATCCAGCAGAACACGAATATGGTCATCGTTGTATAGTTTGTGTTTGCCGCTGCCGCGTATCATTTCGTGTTTCAAAGTTTGGATCGATTTCTTTCTTCGTTTCTTTGTTTCGAACATTCCCAATAACAAATATCTGTATCAGTTTGATATATGTTTTTCTCTTGAAGCTTCTCCAACAAGTACATGAAGTTCTGATCCGCTTAACTGCCGTTGATTTCAACAAATTATCGTCATTTGTTAAAAAAGCAGTCCACTACTAGGTGTTTTGTGTTAGTATTGCAGGTAATTGATGGCTGACAATCAGTACGCTCCTTTGACGGCCAACATGGTTCGCATGCTGACGGACAAGCTGTACGAAAAACGAAAGGCTGCTGCTCTCGACATCGAAAAGTGTGTCGCTTCACATTATCTCTTGGCTTCCAGTCCTTATTGTAAAATATTCTTTACACTTGAAAGTCTTTTCTAAGTAATGATATATACCAGGTTGGTTCGTGATCTCCATGCTACGGAGCAAATAGTTCAACTGGACAAGCTTCTCGTTGTGCTCCGGGAGCTTGCGATGGCTTCGAACGGACACACGCGAAAAGGGGGTCTCATAGGGTTGGCGGCTGCTGCCATTGCACTTGGAAAGGTAGCCTTGGACATTTCTGATTTTCTTCGTAATCATTTCTGCCTCTTGAGAATGCTGCATCTTACACAGTCGAACTGATCGATCCCGTTCTGTCATGCTTCAATGATCCTGATTTACGAGTGCGATATTATGCTTGTGAGGTAGGTTTAATTCTTAGTCACATATCTCACCCCTGAGTCACTACCTCTGACGTTTTATCACCTGCTGTATGCTTTATGCAACAAGCGGACGCTGTGCCAGTAACATGAGAGCTTATTTTAGCGCACCGAACCTGAAGCCCCTCAAACTATTCCCATACCATGTCCTATCCTTCATTTACTGTCTATTCTTTCTTTATCACAGAGTATAATATGAAATAGAGCCATAACGATGCTGAGATAGGAGCAAAACTCGGAACCTCAGTTGGCTTCGAAGCCGAGATTACTCTGACCGTGGGCTCACGTGCAATCCACCACACCAACCGAGATTCCCGCTTTGCCTGTCTCCTAACCTTTCGCGGATATGGAACCCAGCTGAGATTCTGAGTTCTTCTGGTATATCAGCATCCTTGTAGTTGTCCGTATTTACTGGATCATTCGTTTGTGAAGCATAAAATTCTTATTGTTTGGCGCATCCCGCTTCTCCTTTTACTTCGACTAGTCCTCATCGGGTGCATTCCGTTAGTTTAACAAAATAACTCGGATATAGTATGAGAAATATGTGTATATATGCTGAGCTACATTCCATAGCTTTTCAAAGCATTCATTCATATCTTTCAGTCTCTCTACAACATCGTTAAAATTTGCAAAGTTTCTGTGCTAAGTCATTTTGATCAGCTATTTGATGTGTTGTGGAAGGTTAGTGTCTATCATTGTCGATAATTTGTGAGCTTCTCGACCTTGGAAACAAAGACGGAAACACTTTTCAGTTGTCAGCGGACACCGACCAAAATGTCCGAAGTGGAGCTGAACTCCTTGATCGTTTGTTAATGGTGAGTAGAACAGCCTGTCTTATGCGTTCCATCTTACCTGTGCGTCCTTCTATCTACAGGATATCGTCGTTTCAAAGGAGGACTTTGATATTGCCAATCTAATGAGCCTTATACGGGATCGAATTTATGTTCAAACCAGCTCCAGTCGGAAGTTTATTGTGGCATGGGTTAGCATTTTTTTGCCATTCCACAGCTAACTTCAGGAAGCTTACAGTTTAATTCCAGCTGAATGTGATGCTTACAACACCGACATTTAACTTATTACCGTATGTCGCAGAAGTGTCTGATGGACTTTTTCGGATGCTAGCAGATGGCCAGCCTGCAGTTCGAGATCTGACGGAAACACTGTTAGGCCAGTTTTTACAGGGCGTCCACAATAATCCTGATTCTCTTAGTCAGGTGATTATTTGGGTCATATTCAAGGTGTTTAGATTCTTTGTAGTGGATAATGCTGAGATATTTGCAAAACTCTGGACCGCAGATGTATGCGGTGAGGAACGAACGCGGTCCAAAACGAAGGACCCGGATGGTGTGGTGGTGAAGTGCGCTACTCCCCGGAAAGGACAACAGCGCGCGTTCGTTCCCCACCGCATACACCTGTGGTCTGGAGTTTTACGAATATCTCAGCATTATATACGAGTTATATTTCGCAACATACCCTGCCATTAAAAAAAAAAAGAAAAAAGCAGTAAATAAAAGGGTTAAGATTTTTGTAGTAGAATTAGTTTTTCCTATCGGAAATGAAATGAATTATTATATAAAAATAAAATAGATTTAATAAGAGTGAGAATGCTGAAAATTGTCGAGCACCTCGTCGTGGCTGGGAGATGTTCCTGCGTGTCGGACTGCGTTGTACAGCGGGGGGATTCATCTCCCCAGCATGTCTCCCAAGTTGAGGAGTCCTGCGTTTTCATTAGGAAGTCCAGAGAAGACTAGACCAATACCAAGATCCACCACCCTCGTATCGAACTAGTCGTATTGTGACAAATTTCCCTCTGATCCACAAGGGCGGCGACTGCCTGTGGTGGTGACGACTTCGGGCAGACTTTGGCCTGGCTGACCTCGGGACTCCAGGGAGCGACAATGGTTAAACCAGCAGAACTCCGAAAAAGTGGACATTGTGCTGGAGTCCGCACAACCAATGAAGACGAGCCATCTAAGTATCCAAGTTAGTATGAGAATAATGAGAATTATCTAGCAGTATTGTACTTTAAATTCTTGATACGATATAGGTTATATGGTTATTTATATGGTTTATATTTGTATTAGTACGGTCACTTTTAGCTTCCATTTTTTTTTCTCGCAAAAGTTTTCAACACAGGTTTTTTAACAGTGTTATGCTCGTGAGTGTGTATGAACTGCTAAGTTACTTAAGGAAGATCGATCTCAAATGGTCAGTGTATTACTGGCTCATGCACATGAGGACGAACCACCATTAGGTAGAAAGCTGTCACTTATTTGGATGGACGAGTTCATAAGGTGAGCTTTGTAATGAACATTCACTTGAATTCGGTGTTGCCGACCTATCTGTTTTACAGAATATACAAAGATAAAATGCTACCGTATTTATCGTCATATCTCACTGCTATATTGCCTTCTTTAGATTGTGACACATTAAAAGGTTGTTCTTTGCTTTGGTATAAGTCGGTTTACTTTCTAAGTATTTGCATTGTCTCCCGTTTAGCTAAAAGTATCAATGAATGTCTGTTGCAATTGGTTGATGTTAACACTGCAATAGATGAGCAAACCATCGCCTATTCAATCGGTTTGTAAATTTTATGGAGTTTATCTAGTTTTGCAACGCGGTTCTTTTGTGTTCTACAAGTCATGGAACAAACTTTTGTCTATTTCCGCTTCTAGAAGTTCTGCTGAAGTTTGTCGTTCATGAAAAGCGAGACACACGGCTAGCAGTACTGAACTGGATCCGGCATTTGAATGCAACGGTGCCTTCTCAGGTAGCTCACTATGCAGTTCCATCTGCTGATATGTCTTTTCGATCTTCATCGCTCCTTGACTAAAGATGTATTTGAATGTTTATAGCTCTTTCTGCATATGGGCTCTATATTTCCTGTTCTTCTACAAACTTTGTCAGATACTTCAGACGAGGTTTGCTTTACTAGACATATTCGAAACGATACCGTGCATCTTTTTCAAATTTTAGGTATTGCTTTTGGATCTCCACCTTCTATCCGATATATGTCAGTCCAATTCGGAACGCTACGACTTTAACCTAACGAGCTTCCAGTTAAGCGAGGATACGATTAAGAATGTTGGACACTTCATTCCTTTTTTCTGAAGAAGAAGAGTTTGAAAATGCAAAAAATTTGGTACAAAGTGCTTCAAGAGAAGTAATTTCCCTCTCTCTCAGTTTGAAGATACTCAGCGATTTTCATGTGGCGCCTCTGTTTTCAGCTTTCTCCAGTATCTCCCTCTCTTGTTAAATTCGCTATAAGCCTACTGGAGATGTTTCGCGCAGAGCCTTCTTTGCTTAATGATAGAGGAGTCTTAATTATCAGGTGGATATTTCCTGGTGAATTCGTTTTTGAATTTTGATCAATTCTTTCTCATTAAGGCAGCTTTGTCTCCTCATGGAACCGGCACATATCTACCGAGCACTTTGTGTCCTGTTGTTACGAGAACAAAGTATCACTTTTATACAGGTTCTTATTGCTGGTTTAAACGACAGATTCATCAACTACATTGCATCATGGGCGCTTGTAACGCAGTGGCTGGAGACCCCTGCAATACACATGCGATCGGTCACCGCGCCCAAGGCTCGCCAACCCTTCCATCCTCCGGGGTTGACAAATTGGTACCAGGCTTGTTTGGGTGGATAGTAGCACTGGCTCGACACGTCGGTAGGCTATCACGATTCATTGTAGAGGCCAGATTTGCATTCGGTCACCTCCAATGATGCTTAATAAAGTCGAATGCATGGCTCATCCCTCGGGGATTGATCAACGCCGAGAGCTTTATCCTTTGTCGTTTAAGCTTTTATAACATATTTATTTCAGTCGAAGTACCGTTTCTGCAATTTAAGTGTTTCTTATTTTAAATATATGTTTTAGAACGTTGTTTCGATGCTACATGGCGTCTTATTTACTGCAACTGAGTTGTTCATTTTGCGTGACCAACTGAGAAATCTTGAAGGAAAGGTTGGACATGTTTCTTTTTATGTCGAAATCTAATCCATTCGGACACGTTAGATTGGAATCGTCGATGTTGTTCATTTCAAGCAAGAGCGTCCCACTTCAGGGAAGCTATTTACGTTCCTCATAAAGAATTGTGCAGGATTCGGTGTCGCTGTTTGAGTGTGTGTTCCGTTGTTGGTGCTACCGACCCATCGCTCTACTCGGCTTATGTCTGTTGTCGCAGAATTATGCTCAAGCCGCCGATATTGTTCTTATGCTATCGCAAGTGGGACCACTTTCAGTTCTCCACTCTGCTTAAGTACTTCGGTGTTTCACTGTTTTCCGTTGCTATTGAAAGTTTTTCATTCGAGAATATGAAGCGGTTTACAGGTGGATATAACACTGGATGTGCTCGTCGAAATCGACAAGCTGGTAAATATGATAGAAAGTCCTGTCCTAGCCTGTTAGTTTTTGATCGTATATGTATAAACTGTACGATTTCTCCAGTAGTTTTTCTGGCTTCGAAAAATTATTCATTCTCTAGTACTCGTTCTATTTATGGGGCGTATTTCAGACGTGCGAATGGATTTGTTATCTTCTTGTCATCAACGTTCGCTGTCGACGGTTTTGTCTGCTCTGTTGATGTTAATGCCGCAGTCTGATGCCTTCCATACCTTGCACAGACGTCTACAAGCCATACCTTCTCTTGCCACTGTTGGGTGGGTTTAGTTGCTCATTTCTTATATGAACGCTTAACATTTAGTTTATCAAGCATTATCTGAACGCTAGCTATTAGTTTGGGATTGGAGTTACGTCTCTTGAATTGCCAGTTTAGTTTACCTCCGCAGTGAGTGGAATTCTAGTATTGTAAATATTGTTTTCAATCGTCGATGCCGCAGTTTCTAATTCTTTCGATACTGTCCGCTTTTTTCCTTAGGAATGAAGTTGTTGTGACAAAACCTAAAGTGGATTTTCCTCCGTTGTTCGAATGCTTACGTAAAGCCTTGAGTCGACGGCAGAGCGAGATTCGACGGAAGCACCGTGATGTTCTACTGTCGTCACTTCAAAAGATGAATGTGCGGTGAATGATGCTATGAATTTGTTGACTTGTTAACAGTCTGTTATCGAAAGCATCGGTTCTATGTCTTGCTCTTCATGTTTCTTTTTGAATAGTGCTAATATTGTTTCCATAAACATTTGAGAGTTCTAGGTAGAGTCTGTGGAAGGTTGAAATCGATTGATCTATCGGTTGTTTTATCGTGGTGCCTTCGCTATGTTAATACTTTTTACATGTGATAGGAACGACTGATGCTGCAATATTTTGCTGTTATTCGGTCGAGTTGTTGTGATATTTTGTTCATTTCAAATGGTTCTTTGTTCTGTTTTTGCAAAAAGAAATAATTGAGCACTAGTTACAAGTCTATACACATTTTCTTCAGAGGTAGTACAGACGTCGAGGTTAAGCTCCACTTCTGACGGTGTTTGTTCAAAATTACACTGTAGGTCATCTCAGTTCACTAGTTTTACTTATTATATCATATTGGCCAATGTTTCAGAGGTTCTATACTTTATTTCATAAGTTCCACATTAGATTCGTCATGTTTGTTTAATATAATTAGAAGATACAATATGCCGCGATCGCCGATATCTGGCTTCAACAAATCTTTCTAGCGCGTCTTGGAATCGTGTATTTATCAGTGGTAACATCGCGACTGTTAAACGAACAATCATGAGCTTCATATCATAACCACCCGAAGACATCGTCAATTATCATCTGTAGATCTTTGATGTTTATTCGCAACGAAAAGTCTGTAGGAGATAGTTGGAGAAACGGCGAGTCCTTTACGAAAACAACGAGTGCTGGGTCCTTTACAGCGATTACCCACTATGTAAACTGCGATTACTACTTCGCCACTGTGGTGTACGAGAACCAAACGAGATATTTTGGAGTTTATTCATTCAACACGCTGCTTCACGACGCAAAGACTGTGGGAGTTGAGCTGGACTACCGTGTCCCACCTTTAGTATATATAGGATTTAGTAACCTCTGAGTATCGGTTTGCACAAGTAATGGAGCATTGTCCACACGATAGCACAAATCACGGCAATCTAAAAACCACCAAAGTCTTCCAGGTGCAACTGGCGTCATTTTGGAAAAGGGAAGTTTAGAATTTTCACACACCTGATATTCTTGATAATGATAAAATTCTGAAAAATCAAATACCGAAGACTAGGTCAATGCCGACAAACGGTTATATTACATCGTAATAATATATAGTATAATAGGCCCATTAAGAGCCACAGTGCAGTACTACCCTTTAGAAGTGTTATTGATGGTTGCTAAGTTTGCTTCAAGAGGCGCCAAAAAACAATGCTGATCGGAATTCGATGGGAGCTGCGCTGCTCTAAGCCCTTATAGGTCAATGTTTTATACTGGGATTTGCGGCGACTTAACTCCAGCGACCAGCTATGACATGGCAATTGGAGCTGTACGACAATCTAAAAGATAGATGCGAAGGCAGTCACGCGCTGTGAATTCGATTTCTCTAGTTTGTCGTTCAAAATAAATGTTGTCATTGAATGAAAATGTTTGTACGGTACGACGAATGATATTTTCATATCTGTAAAGTCCTCGAAATGTTGATTAAAGCTTGTTTTTTTTTCGTCTACCCTTCAGTAGAAGAATGGAAAGTATGCAAGAAGTAGCATTTCAGGAGAGTTATACAGCAATAGGCGTTCACAATTTTCTCTGATAATCTTTAAGGACTCAATATAAAAGAAGTGAATATGTGTACTTGTAGGGTAGAATAAATATAGAGTACTACTGTATTACATATTCTTGGACCAAGCTTTAGAGGAGAGCATCAGGATACCTCGCGAGGAAAGATCAATTGAGTTATCTGGGTGCTCGTAAACCCATGTCATACTGTAAGGAAAGTAAAACCCGCTGGAGTCTGAACATTTTTGACAATAGTCTACTTATTCTATACAAATTTGTTTTTTGGACATTAGGAAATTTCTACAAGCGTTATTAGCAGGGACATGATCGTTTTCTCTTTCGCTTTGATCTTTTTCCTCGCTCGAGATGCTTAAAAGTAACAGTGGGTTATTGAGAGGCCGCTAAGCACCCTAGATGAGTCAGAGTTCTTTGTCACAAATCACTCAACCTCTAGACGTTAGACGTGACATGTGGCCACGTTTTCTCTTGCAAAAGAATTGGTTCTCTTCGATTGTTCAGGTTGCAAACGCTGCAGTTCCTGGTACGTCCTGGCACTTGGTGTTTAAGCTTCCACAGGATAAATCACAATGCAGTACTTTTTGTTTCCTATCTATTCTTTTTTCATGCCATGGTGTGAGGTGAAATATAACCACAATAATACTGAGTTGTTTGCAAAACCCCAGACCGTAGCTGTCTGCGGTATGGATCAAACTCGCTCTTACCCTTTCCAGGGCTAACGTGTTCACCATTGCACCATGCGGATCCTTCGTTTCTCCTTTTTCTTACCCGTGTTTTAACCTATAATGCTATAGGGGTTATATTTTTCGGAATTCTTTGCTGCTATCCTTTAACCGATGGATTCCATTTTCACATAATAAAGAAAGGAGACAATTTAGCTTCTACTAGTCCAGATTAAGTATTTGGAACTGTTTCCGTGCTTCACCCTTATCTAACCATTGATCAGAATGTCGACTATCGCGCAGAATCCAATTTCCGTCGGAAAACGGTACGATTTATGTAACGGGTTGTTTCTGCTGTGCAAGAAAAAACCGCGAAGCGCATTTCACAACGACGATCTCTTTGGCTTTTGCTTACTTCATGCCACAAGAATTTATTGAGTTTCTTTCTTCCCATTCGTTTGAGATGTTCCTAACTGCTGCTTTAGTTACGCCATGTTTTTATGCAAGCTTAAGTCGGATCATTTCTTTATCTTAAAGGCTCTCATCTCCATTAAAAGACCACTAGAACCAACGTTGCGCAGCACAGTAGTTAACGGTACCCAGCGCAAATCTAACGTTGGTATTTCGAAGCTCCGCTTTAGATCCACGTTTGAATTCGTAGAGAAAAATCGCTCGAATCTGCCAGTTTTCGATTTTATCGCATGAGCGGACGCGTGTAGCGCAGTGGTTAGAGGTACCTCCCCTGCAACACACCGGTAGTTAGGACCTCCATCACTGAGCAAATCAAGCAAGACTTGTCTGGGAGGACAAAAACACTAAACTAATGCATCGGTAGGCAACCACAAGTCATGTATCTTAAATAAGCATGTAATCCTCTCTATGGTGCTATGAATGGCGTCCAACACACGACGCATCACTGCGGGATTGATCAGCATAGAACCTTATCATTATTCCTTATCATTTGTCCCTAATTTAAGTAGTCTGAATCTAACACTAATTTGACGGGAAAAAAAGAAAACTATCCTGAAAATGCAGAACTAAACCTGCAATTCATCACAAAGGAAAGACGAGAATTAAGAGCGTTCGGAAGGCGGATTATTCACCCAGCGAACTGGATATCCTTTGACTTCTCTTTACTTCAAAAAAAACAGCCACGTCTCATACAATGGTGGAATGTAATTCGAAGGAGGTAATAATTCAGTCGAGTACCGCTACTGCTGTGGTTATTTCGATGATCTCTCTTAAGGACGAATCGTGTGAGTCTTACCGCCGGTTCCCTTCAGCTGGCCTATTGATGATCAGGCAAGAGTTGCGGAAAAACCTTGATAGGAGGTTCCTAGTTTGTTTGTCATCCCAGGCTATCGACGACTTTGTGATTCAGAAGTTTGCGCCTTGGCACTGGATTTCTTTCAGGATCGAGGTGATGCGGGTTTTTTTCTTAGATGGGATGAAGAGACTGTGTATCTTTGTACGACAATAAGACCTTTGTCCATCCGTGAAGAGATAGTACATTATTGAAGAACGTGTACTAGTTCCAATTCTGACATTGAACCTTCTCTAAGGTTGCAGGGCGAAGCTAATACGGGAATACAGCATTCGTATAATAGATATAAGCCTGGTTTTTGAGTCATGTCTCTCATTCTCCTATACGCAGTTATCACCTGCTCGTCCTCACTGCTTTACTTTAACCAACTTTTACTGGATGATTGCTCGAAATTCGAGCAAAATAATAAATACCGTCAATCGTTAACAATCTATTCGACGCGTGACAACAGAGCTCAAGTCACTTCATGGTTATATTCTTCAAGAGTTTTGAAAGATAGGCAGCTCATAAGTACTTGTAGAAACAAAAACGAGCACGAACATGTGCCTGAAACGTTGAGCATTGAGGATTAAAACAGCACTCATTTGCCACGCATAGTTATCGAAGGCATCTCCTGAACATTTCCTCAAAGTTTAAAACAAAGAAAGGAAACACCTAAGAGAACCAATAATTCCCTTAAAGTAATGAAGACCCTAGGTCAACTCTAGGAACACTTTCATAGTGGCTTCATAGGGAACTCATCTGTGCTTCCTGTTCCCACGTGGGAATACGAGAAGGGTCAGGTGAGATGGGCAGAACTCTTTTACTACTTATTTCTTGTTCTTGTATCTGATCAGAGAGCATCTCTACCATCGTGTGCGGACGCCGTACTTCACAGCGGGGTAGAGCAATTACGGCACAGCGCTATCGATTTGTGTTTCCCATCCGTTTATCTCGAAGCTGCTTTCGAGGATTCCACGTCTAGCCGACACATTATCACCAATCCGAATTAGTTAGCTCTTACAGC